CAGGGTCTACTCATCACACCAAGAACTCTTGGCTGAGAGAGATGGTGAAATCTTTATTGTGGCTCTCCGAGTGCCACCTTCTCTGCAGGGCAACCTTTGCTTTGGAGAATCATCTTCCAAGCCAGGCCTTCCCCAACTCCCAACATCCAGTGGAATAAAGACTACAGTTTATGCTTAATGCATGGGCTGTCTGGCCCCTGGGTAGGCATGAGAGCAGCAATTTTTACCAACATTGCTGTTCTCTCTTTTGTTAGAAGTGACCCCTGACTGCTGGGTGCCTGCAGGTATTACACGTAGGGCTGAACTTAAACACCTTTGAGCATGCAACAGAAAGCACTGACAAACCAGGCAGAACCTCACCACCCAATCAGCATGTGCCAGCCTGGCTGATTAAGAGCTGGTATGTCTATTTTATAGGGGTCTATTTTAATGCTATTTTCTAGCCTAAGGTCCATGAAAACTCCATATCAAAGTAGTTGCTACACTTGACTTCTATTTCTTTGGCAGAACTGGCTGGCACAGGGACCCATTTTCCCAGCACAGGTCCATGGTTCCCCTCTTGGTAGTTCATTGCCTTTGAAGTTACAACTGGGATGATTAAATGCAATGCTCAGAAAACAGTCATAAATCTCTGTGAAAAGGATTATGTGCCAGTTTTTATGTATAAGCACTTCTTCAGCTTTCTGCAGCACTGAATTCTCATTTACCTGATTGAAATAGCAAAGCAATACAGAAAGCCAGCTTACAGAGAGAACAGTTCAACCACAGGACAATGTTATCTCAAGGCAGTCCTAGCAGAAATGCATTAACTATTTAAGGAAGCACCACAAATAACCTGCTTCACGCCCAGGGTGATCAGCCACCAGAGATCACAAGGCAAATGCCAGCAGAAATTAATATAACTTGACTCCCAAAGACATAGCTTTTTTAAAAAGGAGACTTTTAATTAGAAGTTACAGGTAAAATTCAATCTGTTTCTCACAGGTTGAGACATGCTGCACAATGGATTTTTCCCTTGTCTTGCCACAGTATTGGTAATAAAATCTGTTTATCCAGAGGCCTCCTACTTCTTTCCCCTCAAGAAGGGCAGAAGAAAAAAACATTGAGCAAAACATCTGAAGCATGTCAGCCCTGCACTCAACACCCTCCTGACTTGGACCTGCACTTTTGGTACACTGTTTGCATAAAGCTGGGTAGCCCTCAAAACCTTTCTAGTTGCATTCTCCCTCAAATTCTGTCTGATACGAGCAAGAATGTTTGAACAGAGGTTTGGGATTGGTTTTTCTATCTCAAATATTGCTTACCCATTGCAGATTTTGAGATCAAAGTCTGTGTTGTTTAAGGTAAGGCCACTGGAGACAGTGCATTCTGCAACACAGCCTGGATGGACAGGCTTCCATGGCAGGGCTCAGGAATAGAAGGATTCCCAACACCTTCACTTCTGCCTCCCTGAGAAAGGCAATGACAGACACATCTCATCTCCTCAGACCACCTTTGCCAAGCAACACATTGAGGGCCATGGAAATGTGGCTCTCATTTATGCCACTAAGCTTTGAGGTACTTGGGAATATCGCTGGTAATTTTAACAACAGTAACTTAGTGAGCATGCTGAACAGATGACTGCTTCTAAAGACTGAAAAACTGTCATCAATTCAGCATATTATGCCCTTCAATTGTTAAATAAATTATTATCTGTCTACTTTAATTTATACATTTGTGTTGTCCAAGATTGGAGACAAGTTACATAGAACACATAGGCATTTTCTAGGGCCAAACTGAGCCACATCAAAGGTCTATCCAGCAGTGACCAGAAGTCCATGCCAAGTGAAGCATAAAAGATGATAATTTTCCCTCAGTTCCTAGCTGGAGTTTCTGAGTTGGATGTGGTCTCTCCATATTTAGTAGCCTGGATTTCTTATTTCAACTTGGAAAATCTCTCTTAGACCCTGCATAAAGGTTCAGCACACACTTGGTGTCCTGCAGGAGGGAGCTCCAGCTCAGCTGCCTGTTGTGTGTCACTTCCTTGGCTTGCTTGGAACCTGTCTCCTCTTAGATTCCTTTGATACAGCCTGAGTTCTACATGCACAGACCCCTCACACCCCCAGTCCTGCACTGTAGGCTGTATCAGCTCTAAGGGATCACAGATTCTGACCTCACAAGTCACTGCTTTTTCAACCCCCTAACTGACACCTACCCCTAATGGTGGCCCCAATAAACCCTGCCGAAGTTACAGTGCTCTGTTGGGGTCATCCTGTGTCAGCCCAGACCCCAGCTCCAGGCCTAGCTTCATGAATTTCACAAAGGCTGCCACACATTTCCAAACTACTGTTTTTCTTTTTTATTCCACTGTTATCAGCCTTCCTTCCAGTCCCACAGAGTCTTAGAATGGCTTAGCTGGCCAAGTCTTAGAATAATTTTCAGCTCTGTTGAAAAGCATAACATTTACCCTGGCGAGACATACATAAAAACCACATTTCCAGCTCAAATAAAGACAACTCTTTGAAAACAAAAAACTCCCATTTGTGACCTAAATAACCTTCAGAGTTACAAAACAACTTGCCCACTGCCTGACTCTAATCCTTGCTTTGACTACAGTAATGATGTTACTAATCACTTAAAGAGCACTACCCAAAACAGATCTTTTAGTTTCTGCCTCAACACCAAACTTAGCTCTTCCACTGCCTTCTTCCCAATTCAACCCAAGTTGCAGTTAACATCTTGGCTTCAATGCTGTATGCTAATTACTGCCTTCAAAACCTTGTTAAAAGCTTCCCACACCAGCTCTTCACATGCTGCTGCTACTGTAGCTGTCCACAGGTGAGGAACACACCCTGCTTAGGAGCTTCTCTGAAGCAGCACAAACGCTCCTGCAGGACAGTAGCAGGGTGTCCCTCAGCTGGGGAATAACCTGCAATGACTCCAGTGATTTCAGCAGACTGAACAATTCCTTTATTAAGCTTCCTATATTATACTACATACTAATACTATACTATATTCTACACTAAAGAAAAACCTTTGACCCCTTACTGACAGTCACAACACAGCTTTGACCTAATTGGTCAATCAATCCAAACAACCAACACCAGAGTCCAGTTAACAAATCACTTTGGGTAAACAATCTCCATAACACATTCCACATGTGCCAAACAACAGGAGCAGCAAATAGAGATAAGAATTGTTTTCTCTTCTTTCTCACTGCCTTCCCCAGGAAAAATCCTGGGGAAGTTGTGCCTCCTGCTCTCTGTGAAGAGAGCTGTGACCACACCTGCAGTCCTCCCCTGGACTCATTCCAACATCTCCATGCATTTCCTGTGCTAAGGACCCTGGAGCTGGATGCAGTGTGCCAGGAGGGATCTCAGAAGAGCAGAGAAGAGGGGCAGAACCGTTTTCCTAGACATTCCTGGAAACCCCACCTATGTCACTTGAACCTTGCTAGCTCCACCTGTTATCCCAGTCCTGCACTTGGGATGAGTGGCACAAGGCCAGCTGGGCAGCAAGAGCTCCAGCTTCGACCACAGCAAATCTCAGATGAGAGTTACAGTGTGAGTCTGACAGAGGAGGAAGGACAAGGTTTGCTGCCAGTACAAGGGTCAGAGGGTGCACCATGGGCTGTCAGTTCAGAGATGGTCACTGGGTCTCAGAGCACCTGCAGGACTGACACTCAGACCTGCAGAAGGGACGGGTTTCCTGAATGGAGGATAAAGCTTTCTGGGTAAATTGGCTAAAATGAGGATTAAGATCAAGCTCAGCAGAAATGGAAGAGCTGGGATAATTAAAGGGTTTTAGAATCCCTTCAGAACAGTAATACTGCTTTTTACTGGAATGGATTTCCTTAATTAGGTTTGGAGTGGGTAGGTGTTGCTGGACTGCAGGTGAAGCTGGGGCTGCTGCTGGGGCCAAGGCAGGACCTCAGCCAGCAGCACTCTGACTTGTTTTTCCTAAGGCTGTTAATAAAATCCACAGTGCCAGTGGTAAAAATAGTCACTGTTTCATACCCTGAGAGTGACTTAGCTTTTGGGTTTAGAAACCCCTCCCCTGTCATTACAAGAGGCAAAGAGACAAACATGCAAAAGAACATGTGCAGCACAGAAGAGGTAACTGAAATTAGGCCAGGCTCATTTGTGACCTGCTGACCCCCATCTCAGCATAAACATATCAAAAAGGGACAGCAGCAAATCCTTCATGCTGTGCTGCACTGAGTCTGGTATTAATAACTCCACCAGAAACAAACACGTCAGAGCTTTCCAAACAAAACAATGTGCTTCCTGGAAGCACTTCTAGCCTTGATGGTAACAGGAGCTGTTGCCACGTTATCATAAAGGTTCCCCAAATGAGATCCAGCCCAATTCTACAGCAGATGTTGAATAAGGATTTCTTGGTCTTAACCTGTGTCTAAACTGCAATTTCACTGTTGGAATGAGGAGCCAGCAAGCCAGAACTGACACAGAGGAAGACTGCTCCCATTTTAATCTGAGACATCAGGAAATTCCTCCAGAAGGCTCCAAAGTGTCCTTCAGTAGCTAAACAGAGCAAACACTCGTGGCCCATCCACATTCACTGCTCCATCACTGATATTACACCAAGAAGCATGGTCACCCCCTTTTTATACAAACTTCAACTGAAGCCAAAACTCTGCATGCTTCCATCCCACATCTCAGGAGCAGCCAGTTTTAAGATTTAGGATTATGCCTCAGTTACTGGGCTTTCCAGTCCTGTGCTCAGGCAACTAAACTATATTCTCTGGGCTTTGCATAATAATAAGCACGCATTTTTCAGTAAGAAAGCACCTGTAATACAACCCTGCAGGACCCACAATGTGCTTTAGGGTTCAAATAGTTTTGGTTGCTTTCTATTCCAATAGAGAGAGAGAAATACAAAGAACTAAGTTAAGGCAACACAACAGGTTTTTTTCATTGTCATCTGCAAACCATTTTAGTGTAGGAAAATGTAACATCAAGACCACACTTTTGAAAGCTTCTGTTTGACTTCTGTCATCATACCTTGTCAGTAAATATGGTGAGAATGAGGCTGGATTGTCCTGCTCTGAAAACATTGGCATGGAACCTCCCATTATCCAGAGGCGGAAATACAGCACAAGCATCACCTTCAAAGAAGAACACCTCAGTTAGCAATGCACTACTAAGGAGAGCTAAGGCCTCCAGCAAATGTTTTGTTGTGACAGCTCTCCATGCTGTGCTAAGCCAGTCAGCTCAGCAGTTTAGGCAAAATTCAAGCTTGCCACCTTACACACAGTGACAAACCCTCAGCACAGAGCACACTGTGACTTGGTGTGTCCCTCCTCCTGTCTGCATTACTGCCAGCAACTCACACATCTCAGTACCCACCACAAGGGCAGCACTCTCAAGGACAAATCTGTCGCTCTGCTGCAGTGGAGACTGCAGAATTTTGCTACTGACGTCTACCTAAATGCAGAGGGGAAAATCATGGGTAGATGTCTTAAAAGTTCTTATCATTTATCCATGCTGGCGTAGGTGTAAGGATAAGCTCCATCAGTGCTTCTCATGCTGCACAATCCTAATTCCTAGAAGGATTTCTGGAAGCTGCCACTCCTTTACCTTTCTGGTAACCACCTGTCAAAGGACAAGCAAGGGGATCTGGCTCCTGGAGCAGCACAGGGAGCTGCACACCCAGAACATTCCCATGGAAGAGCTTGCTTTCTCCTCTGCAACATGTTGAGTCCTGTGTGCAGCACATCAAGCAGCAGTTTTTCTGACAACTCTTACCTGCAGTGGCATTAACAGCATGTCACTGACAGGGCAGCCCAGTGCCACAGAGCCCCGTGTATTTAGGGCAGGAAATACCTGCAGATGATTACATGGTTACAAGGGCAACCACTATAAATCAAAAGGTTTGAAGTGGAAACACAGTAATATTCTTGTTTCTGCGCAGCTGAAGTTTTCTAGACTAATTCCCAAGCCTAACTTTGTATTAAGAGCTAACATGTGAGCTTTCTGAGTCTTTTGGGATACCACTATGAATTGTTATTCTCACCAAATACACGGTCAAGTCCATTCATACTTACATAGCTTATCACCAAAGCAGCTCTCTTCAAAAAAGGCCTTGCAGTATACAAGAAATTCTGGTTGTTATTTGCAGTCAGGTAGCTGAAATACAAGGAAACAAATGTTTGTTGAAGTACTTTGGAACACTAACTCATTTTTCAAATGGAGAAAAATGTCTACATTGATTTAACCACCCTAAATACAATATTAATGACATCACTCCTACTCTTCAAAGGTCCTTCTACATAAGTAAAATATTAAGACTAGTTCAAGTAATCCACACTATAATACATTGCAGTTTTGCCATCAAAATCTGGTTTTGGTGTGTTTGTTGGTTTGGTTTTTGGTTGTTTGTTTTTAAATCTTCAATTACTCCTTGATCCTCAGAAAAATCCCAGGTGTGTCTCAGTGAGATTGCTGTCTTCAGACTCCCAGAAGACTATACAGAGACATATTTTCAAAAGGTCACCCAAACAGAGCAATTCAATGTTAGACTATGATTAAAATGCAAAAACTCCTTGTTCCCAGCTCTCTGCTCAGTCTCTAGAGAGGAGAATAACTATCTAGCAGAACCGATTTAAGCATTTTTTGGGAGCGCATTCTGCACGCTTAAGTTTCATCACAAGCCTGCTGACAAAGTGCTATGATAATTAATTGCACAGAGAGAAACACACATGGCATACTGTTGTAGGAATGTTCATAAAACCCTTCCTGTTTCTCAATGAGTAAAATGAAACTGTATTTGGAGCCAAAACTATGCATTTATTTTAATAGAGTAGAAGCACTTGCCAAATTCTAAGGAACTTTCTTACTATAACAAACAGTGCCATATCCATGGCATTAATTTCATGATAATTCTGTGTCTATTGAACCTTATAGATGCTCCATCATTGTAATAAAGCAATAACAAAAAGAAATACAGAAGAGACAACAGGAATATTTTAAGCATATAGTAGGTAAAAAAACTATTGTAAAAATGACAACTTATTTTAAGAAGATATAAATATCAAGTCAACAAAATAAATTCAGAAGGAAAACCTTTGCAGGTTCTTCTGTATAACTTACAGTCAGTATCAGGATACTCTATTTAAATGATTTACAAAAACTGCAGTTTGTATTGCAACACCTTCAAGCAAGCTACCTTTCCAAGCATGAAATCCTCATATGTTTCTCCTGTGAACATGGAGCATATAAAGCACATCTTATTTCCTCTCCAAATTCCTTTAGACAGTCTATCACCCAATTGCTTCCACCCTTCAAGTCTTTGAAAAAACAAGACTGAAGCACTTCTTAATGCAGCCAAGAGTCTTTAATACCTGGGGTTTTGTTCAAATTTTCTAAAGCAGAAAGTTTGCAAGCCTGGTCACCATGGCAAGATGAAGAAAAGATTACACTGCAGAAAAAAAGCACCAGGGCAAATCCAGCAAGAAACAGAGGCAGCATTTACCAAGATGAAAGAAGTACATCTGGATGCTCTGTACAAAGGAACTGCTCTTCAGAAAGCTTTCCCTAAGTGCCATGCCTAAAACTAAGGAACTAAACCACACAGCATAAAGCAAGCCAGACAACTTTCAGTCTTTGGAGTCTACTTACTGTGAAATGTTGACATTTAAGCACCAAACCTGACTTAAATGTCAGACTAGTCTACAAGGGCTGAACGCCTCAAAGTGCAAAGTTTCTGGAGTTCCCACTGATTTTAATCAGGCTGCAGCAAGTACAAGGGAGGTGAAACTAAGCCTTCAGCTTTGTCTCCCCATGAAAGGTCAGGTTGGCCTTCAAGTGCTCGCCATGGCCCGGCTCCAAAGCCCACCGGAACCAAAGGGAAAGCCTCTCACTGACTTTAACAGCATTTGGACCAAACCCCAGGCCTTTGTCCCCTACTGGAACCCTTTATGAAACTCAACCCCCTTGTGATTTGCAGCAGGAAGTGTTTGGTTGCACTTTGTTTACATTTTTATGTGTGGAGAGAGGAGAGCCCTCTATTCATCACACTGCCTGACTCTTCCAGAACCTGTTTTCGCTCGCTTTTACTTTTAACTCTCTGCAACACTTTAGGCAGGAATTTTCCATTACAAATGTTTGCTTTGGGTAGAATTATTCTGGGAAAAGATCAACTAGAACAGTTCAGCTCTTTCTCCAAGGCTTCAGTTACAGACAGGGGAGCACTTTTATCAGTGTAAAGAAGTCTGCCAACTTTGTCCTTGAGAAGCAGCATCACCTCACACCAGTGACCCAAAACTTGTGAGGTGGCCATCATCTCCAGGCTGTGTGTTTGCCCTCCTCCAGAGAAGCCACCTGTGGTCAGGTTGTTCAATTAAAAAGTGAAACTTTTCCATTTTGAAAAAGCTGCTGTCCTGAAGTCTGTCTGGAAACCACAAAAGATAAGGTGGTTCAATGCTCAGCACGCCTGCTCTCCACCCACCAGACTGACCTGCAGGAGTGGCATAAAGGACAGGTCACACTCAATGCCTCAAAGCTTTAGAAGAACCACCTGGTTTCCCAGAGTACCTTACTGGGCTACCACTTGTGTCAGGGAAGGTAGCCAGTGAAACATCTCAGTCTGGTGCAGGTGGAAGGACAATACACATTTTGTGTAATGAAACCAAATGAACTGCAAACAGGACATGGATGAGGAAGTTTGTTAAATGTCCATGACACACAGCATGGAAAATGCGGGAGTTTTTTACATGTAAAATTGCAGCAGCTTTTTCCATGTAAAATCTCAGCTTGCAAACATATCTGAGGTTACACTGAACTTCGCTCAGACAACCTTAAGATCAGCCAAAGCTCTTAATTTTGTATTTAGCTAGGAGAAGCAAAGAAATTACTATTTTAACAGTTAAACCATTTTATACCCCTTTTTAACAGCTGTCTTGTAAAAAAGCCATTCACTGGTCACATTTCCACACATTTGCCAACCTCTCCAGGCTGCCAAACATCCCTCTGTTCACAGGAACCACTCCCTATCACCTGCTCCACCCCAACCAGCACAATTGTGGTGCCAAAAACATGCCAAAACACACACACACACATGCATTCACTCCCACATGAGAGTGGGTGTGGGACAGAGTTAGAGAAAGTGTGCTGATGGCAGCACCACACAGCAACATGCTGCCTCCTGAGTATGTGAACATTTCAAGGTGTGGGTCTTCCAGATCTTCCTAAAAAAATTATACAATTAGAGGAGAACATCCAGCTCGTCAGGTTCGCTAAACAAGTGCAAGAAGAGCCCATTTGGGCAGAGGTTCCGCTTCCACTTCATGCCAGCTTTCCCACAAAGCAACCCAGCATGTAATTGCCTACTTGCTCTCTTTTAAAAGCCTTTCAGGAATACTTCCCAAAACAACCAGAATCACAACAAACAATAAATCCAAGAAAAGCTTAATAATGCAGGGACTTCTCTCGCACAGTTCGAGCAGGAGGCCAAGACAGATATTTGGCAGTCCCAGCTTCCCGAAAAGCACAGCTCATCCTGGAATCAGTTACATCACCAGGGCACTCCAAGGCTTTATAATTGAAGACAGCAGGGTAGGTGGCCCAGTAAAATTCAATATGGTGCAGTTTATAGGAACATACACTTTGCTGGTACCAGATGGACGCTGGGTTAATCAAAACAAACTTCTCTAAGAAGCAGGCAGCTATTTTAATTTGCCTGTGCCACTGCAGGCACCTCGAGCTTACAGAGCAGTGTGAGGCAGCCCCTCAGCTGCTGTTCATTGCCATGGTTCTGGGAGCTATTGCAGACCACTATTGGAAACAGGTTTATCCCACACTGCAGCTGACTCAGTTCTGGCATAAAACGTGAGCTTGCTCTGTGCTCTCTTTGAAGGCTTTCTCAAGGGAAGTGAATAAACAATTAAGATCTGTGATGGACTCTCCATCAGGAATGTCTAAAGGACCAATATAAGTAAGCCTCAGAACAAGTGTTGGTATATCAAGAGATTGTTTTGGCCAGGTCACTTCATTCTGAGAGGATCATTGCTCTCATTTATACTCTGCTTAGGAAACAGATCCACTTCCCAGCAACAGCCAGAGTTTTGAACTAGCAATTTCAAACCCCAAATACTACAGGAAGATATTGGAAGGATGAATAAAAAAGCAAGGCTGTTCTCTTATTCCTAATTCTTGATAACAGTAAAACACCTATAATCAAGAACATTTTTAAACTTAGAAGGGGATATTTTAAGTGCATGTCAAAGCTTTAGGTCATTCATAGATGCACATCTAATCCTAAATCAGCTTGACAGGCTCCCCTGCTGAGAATAAGCAAGTTTTACAGGAGCCACATTCTGTCTACAGAGACCACCTTACCTCTCCTACTTAAAGAAGACTTCCTTATCATCAGTCCAGCTGCATCTTTTATTGGAGAAGCATCTTTTCCACCTAGCTCAGCCTGTAGTCCTCCTTGAGGACAGCCCTTGAAGAGAAAGTGTGTGTGTATGTGATATCCCAGGGAGAAAACAAGAATAAAAAATCCATCATGGAGTAAAAAGAACTGAATGGAAAAAAAAAATCAATTTATTCTACCACGTCTGGATATTTAACTTGCTTAAAGTACTTGTCAATTCAGGGAAATAAAATACCAGTCATAGCTGCAGGTTTTGCAAGGGAGAAAAAAAGCCCTCGTGCTTCCTTCTTTATGGGTAGTGTTGACCTTGCCCACAGCATGTGTGTGGCATCCTTCCTCCTTATCTCCCTGGAGAGCCTCAAACCCCAGCTACCACTGCCCACGCAGACCTAGATGCAGAAACACACACAAACAGCAGCAGTTTTACTGACTCTTTTGGGAGCCATGGAGAGGTTTTATGAAAGTCACAACTGTTTTAACACATTTTCACTGATAATGTAATGTACTCTTTGTGTACATTTCCAATTGTGACCGTATTTGGAATTCTTGCCTTTATTGGCTTTTTGGGGAAGGCAAGGGCAGGGCATACACAGCAGAGAAGCTGATCCCACTCACAGCTTTTCCTTATTCTCTTAGGCAGTACATGCTTCATTCTGTGTGGGATGAAAGTAGAGAAGAAAACTGGGAGGAACAGGGAGAGGAGGAGAGAGAGGCGCAGTGAGGGATGGGGAATAGAAAGAGAAAAAAGGAAAGC